GTGCCCACCTGCTCTGGGCCAGAGACACCAACCCTGACAGGCCACCTCATCACCCGCCATCCAGTCTGGAGGGGCCTCCAGGACCTCACTGACCCCTCCCAGGCCCTACCAAGACTGGCTGTGTGACCCAGAACACGGTCCCCTCCCCCCTCTGGGGCAGCTATTCTCGTGGTAGATTCTGGAATCCTGCTGCCGGGGATGCCATTCTTTAGGATTCCTGTGGCCCAGATTCCTGGCCTGTACAGTGGAACAGGAGCCAACTGCCTGCCCTTCCCTCCCCTTGCTGCCCCGGGGCCTACCCTGCAGGAGCCAGGGCAGCCCTGCAGGAGTGGGTGAGGCCTGTCCCACTCCCCTCCACACCTTGCTTTCTCCTCAGGGGCGGCTGGTTCTCTCCAACAAGATGGCACGCACCATCGGCTTCTTCTACACGCTGTTCCTGCATTGCTTGGTCTTCCTGGTGGGTGCCGAGGCGGTGGTCAGGGCTGCCTTCATCATGCTCCCTTCACCTCCAGGGCAGAAGGGACCCAGGCCGTCCCCAAGCCCCACCATCTGCTCTCGGCCACTTCTCTCCCCTTCAAGGGCCTCAGCCCAGCCTGGGGATGACAAGCCCACCCACTGGGCCCTCGGGGAGAGGCCTGATGACTCCATCCATCCGGGGCCCAGTCCTGGACGGGCTTGGTGAAGGGAAGGGCTGCTATGGGAGCCTGAGGAAGGCAGGAAAGAGGGTCTTACTAACTCTACTAAGGGTCAACCAGGTGGGCTGCACACAGAAGGGACATCCTGTTAGTGGCACAGCACACACAGAGGCCTCGTGATGCCTGCATGTCCACTGTGTCTGGGAAGAGGAGAATGTGGGGTGTGCCCACGGAGGGCTCCGGCCTCAGATCCCACCCCCAGGGAGGCCACAGTCCAGTGGCCCCTATCTGAAGTCCGCTCTGACCCAGGGCCCGGCAGGGGTACACCCAGCATGTTAGGGATGATGCTTCCAGGTCCAGGCCTGTCTGACCATCTTGGAAACAGGCGGGCACAGAAGCATCTCTAAGGCCCACAGCCTGGGGTCTGGGCCCTGAGAACTGTCCCAGGGCTGGAGGTGGCTGCAGGAGTGCCTGTGAGGAAGGACGGGCAGCTCATGGTGTCTCCGCCTGGCCAGGTTCTCTACAAGCTGGCGTGGAGCGAGAGCGGGGAGAGGGACTGTACCACCTTCTGCGCCAAGGATGTTGAGGATGCCCTGAGGCCCCCCTCTCCCCCCCATGACCCCACACTCAGCAGCACCACTGAGCTCCTCCTCTGTTCCCTGTCCCCCAGCCTTCCGCCATTGCCCCCCCACTCTGGTTCACCTCACAGCCCCCCAATATGCCTGCTGCCCTCATCCCCCACCCCATCACATGGTGCACGACCCTGGAGATTTCTATGCCTTCCCCTCCCACCCACCGCGCGCGCGCACAACACACACACACACACTTCTCTCCTTTTTTACACTCAGCCACAGCAAAGGTTTCTGTGTCCCCACAGGTAAGAAGTTTGCCGATCACCTGCACAAGTTCCACGAGAATGACAACGGGGCAGCGGCCGGTGACTTGTGGCAGTGATGTCTCGGGGCCTCCCCACTCACAACAGCGATAACTGCATTCCCCACCCCTGCTTATTCAGCTGCTTCTAATGACTAGGCTTCCCTAGAAATTCCCCCATGGAAACTGCCCTTGCCCTCCACCAGCAGTACCAGAGGTCCTAGTCCCCTTGGGCTCCCTTAAAATGATGCCTCAGCCACTTCAGGCCTCCTCGGTCCAGAAAGTCCCTTGACCCCTAGCCCTGGGAGCAGGGATGCTGTGACACTGTGTTCCACTGTTTCTGGCCATGGTTAAAACAGTTGGGATCCCCTGGGACCCATCACCACCTCCCAAGATGTAGGGGACCCTTCCTTACAGGCCAGGAGTCTTTGAGTCCATCCCCCCAGCCCACCTTTGTCACACTCTACCCCACCCCCAGACCCACCATGATTTTTGCTTTATTATTTAGCAGGTATTCTGGCTTCTAGGTGAGGAGTCTGCAGTGAGCACACCCCATGCCAGGGGCTCTTCAGACCCAAGGACTGGTCTGAGGGGCCCAGGTGCTTCTTGGCCAAGCAGAACATCTTAGCATGGCCACCTTGGGCCACTGACAGATCTGCCTATGTTAAATTTGCACTTGCGTGTTCAGCTTTGAATAAACATATGGTTGCAGCCACACTGGTGCCCGTGCCCTGTGACTGGGGATATGAGAGTCTGGTGGGGTCTGGCACTGCCCCTGACACACAGAAGGTCTCTCCCCTTGTCTGCCCAGGAATTCCATGACTTGGTTCAGAGCTTTGCTGAAACCCAAACCCACAGTGTCTGAGTTCTCTTGAGCAGAACAGTAACCCAATCAAAAAGAGAAATCCATTCCTTTAAAAAAACAAACAAACGAAAAAAAAAAAAACAAGCAAAAGAACAACGCGTTGGTGGGTGTGGTCCAGTAGTTAGAATGTCAGCTCCCACACTGAAGAGTCTCCGGTTTGATTCCTGGTCAAGGGCATGTAATTGGGTTGCAGGTTCAATCCCTAGCCCCTGTCAGGGTGCATGCAGGAGACAACCAATTGATATATCTCTCTCTCTCTCTCTTTCTCTCTCCCCCTCCCTCCCTCCCTTCCACTCTCTCTAAAAAAAAGCAATGGAAAAAATATCCTGTGGTGAGGATTAACAAAAAACAAACAAAAAATCAGACTGTGGTTGAACGTCTGTGGTTGAATGTGTGACGTGTGTTGGATGTGTGACATCAGCTCCTGGGGAACCCTGCATCCTTCTGTGCGCCCTGGAGCCCTGCTCTCGTGTCACTTCATGTCTCTCCCTGTCCCTTTCCCTTGGGGTCTGCTTGCCACACACTGTGGAGCCCATGCCCATCAAGCCCCCCCGAGTGCCAGCCTTGCATAGGGACACCTCTGGGCCATAGGTTCTGGGCTGCCAGGCCCCCAGCCCAGCCCCACTCATGTGGGCCCCACCCACCCACACTAGGAGCTTCCTCTTAATCTGTGGTGATTGGCATTCACTCACTGGCCAGGTGGCCTGAAATGCTGGCTCCATACCCAGCTTCGACCCTGCAGCTCACCTGGGCAGAGTCCCCTGCGCTATCCCTGTCTCAGTCCTGGACACACTAGAACTTGTACATCCAGGGCCCTCACCTTGGGATCCTACCCCAGAACCCCTCATCATCTGCCCCATCACAGCTTCCTCCAAGACCCCAAAGCCTCCTGCCCTCAGGGACCCCAGGTAGACCTGTCCTGCCTAACCCTCGTTCCTGTCCCCATGACAACGATGCTCCTGACCAGTCAGCCTCTCCCCTCCTCCCCTCCTCCTTACCCCAGCCACTTCCACATTTCCCACTACTAGTTCCTCCTTGTACGTCAGAGTCACTAAACAGCTGGCTCCTCCTCACTTCCTCCTCCCTGGGGATCAGACGGACTGTCCTACCCAGGGTTCCATACCCAGGACCCTCTCTGGCCAAGGACAGCCCATCAGTGGATCTCAGCCCACTACTCAGAACCAGGTTAGTCCACGGGGGCCAGGTTCTCCCATCGCCCAGGAGGGGGGGGTCCACGGCCCCAGCACCAACTTATCCTTCGACAGGCAGTCATCCTCCCACCCTTCCCATTCCCACACCCTCCCAGCCTCATTCCTAGGGCTCCTGGTTCCCAGCCAGACCTCCAGGCCAGTGTGCAGCTACAATGCATGGCTGGCCCACGCCTAAGCTTTCATTAAATATTTTCTGGCCATATCCTGCCGAGAGAGCAGCTGGTATGTGTGTGGAAGGGAAGCGGCTAGGTTCCAGGGCCTCAGACAAGACCTGCCTTGCTTCAGAGCCCATGTGGAGGGCAGCCCAGGGCTGGTGGGCAGGAGGTCCAGGCTGGGCTCCAGGCTAGTCTCCACTTTCACTAACCCACTGTTCTTCTCTAGGCCCCATGCTTTCCATCCACCGGACTGAGATTTAAAAAAAAAAAAAAAAAAAGAACCTTCCTTGCCTGTCCTGTTTCCTGATGGGAAAGGTTAAGGGCCCTCTACACGCATCAGAGGTCCCTAAGGGTGGGAGAGAGCAACAGATGGAGGCCCTCCCTGGCAGGCCACAGAACTGCCAGCGGTAGGGCCGCAGTGAGGGCCGGGAAAAGCTGATAGGCCTGTAGAGGCTGAGGGCTGGGGGCAGGAGGGAGAAGAGGAGAGAGGGGCTGGGCACCCCACCCTCCCAGGAGCAAGCACTTCACTTCCATACGTCTGTTTACATGGACTGATGCTTCCCTCTCTTCTCAGACCCCTTCCTGCCTGCTAGAGTCCTCCACCTCTTCTGGGAGGTCTCCGGGAGGCCCCCAAGGTCAGCCCACAAGTGCCCACGAAGGCCAGCAGGAGTCTTTGTTTTCTTAGCCAGGCTGGCCTCTGCCCTAAGCTAAGCTCTGGTTCGGGGGCTGTGGGGGCTGCGGAGCCCTGTCAGCCCCGTACCACGTAGGACGGGGTGGGGCAGGGACAGGGACGGGAGACGTGAGGACCCACTCCCGTCGCCCCTGCCCTGGCCCCCGGCGATTTCCGGCAGCCAGCGCTGGAGGGAGGGGGCGTGGCGCTCAGCCTCGGGATTTATGAGAAGTGGACGTCAACTTCCCGGCCTGTGACATCTGCGCCTCCGCGAGGCTCCCATTGTCCTGAAGGCTGAGGGTCTAGGGCAGTAGCGACCTCCGCCGGTTGACTGTCACCCAGGGGCGTCCACGTCCCAGAGGCCCCAGCAGGCAGGCCACCCGCCGCCCCCACTCGCCACGCTCCCGGAGCCACCACTCGGGGCTCCGAGGGACGCTCCCACGCCGGAAGATCCGGACGCCTGGCCTGGGGCCGGTACGGGAAAACAAGGGCGGCCGCGAACTCTTGTCTAATTGTGAACGGTCGCTGGGCCTTTTCCTGATCCCTTCGGCTCCCAGGACCGCGCCCGCCCGGCCCACTGCCGTTTCTCCG